GTCCCATATCATAGGTGCGCGCGAATCCCGAGACTTACGGTCTCCGTCCCCGATTATGGCTCCTGGTATATCCCATAATAGCTTTTCGAAACATTGGAGTCAAAATTGCTGCCCTATCGGTAAAAAAGTCTATTGGTTATACCCTTCCATGTTTCATTCTCACCGTTTTTTTTTTCTTTCTTTCTTTCTTTTTTTTATCTTTTGAGAGAAAATTGTAAAACAAAACGCGTCAAAAAATATTCCTTCTCGTCGTTTGCTAGCCTGCTAACGAAGACGTATTTCTGGCTGTCGCTCGTCTCGGAAATACGTCTGCGTTCGCAGGCTAGTCGCTTGCGAGATGGCCTCTTATGTGATTACGTCTGCAGGTAATAGCTCAACGGTAGCTCTTTCACCGCCAGCACGTAGCCTCTCGCGTTCAGTTTAACTTGCTTAAGCTATGACAGTCGCACGACACTTTCGAAGGGTTGACTATCACGACAGAGTTTTGGCCGAATACGCTTTCTTCTTAGAGATGGCGTCTTTTTTACGTTATTCATGCCATCTCTCTCGTGATCATCAAACAATATCACATAATCTGACAGAGACGTAGTTAAATTGCCGCAGTTAGGAATAAAGCTAAAAGTGAACATAATCATAAACCCTGTTTATGATTATGTGCTGTGTTTACCACAGGGATATGAGGAAACAGCACCGCGGCATGGCTTGTCAATTGATTGATTGATTGATTGATTGATTGACTGTTTGATTGATTGATTAACTGATAAAATGGGCTCACGATATAGATGGTTTTCACTGTCATGCAACGAAAAAATAAATCGAAAACTATTCAGTGGATAAACTCAAGACATTTTAATACTATAGGAAACAGGTAAAGAAGAAACTTCTCGAAGTTTTGGGTCTCTGGGTTTTCCCAAACTCCAGATATTTTTTGAAATGTTTTGCGCAAATTTACAGAGCCCAGTATGGAGCCGCCGTGTTGGTGGAGCTCTGTGCTCCACCTACATGGCGGCCGGAAAATAGTGCAAACATCTGGAACTTACTTTGGCTATCTAGGCGACTAATCATCTGAACTGAACCAACAAACATTTACAAAAGCACTTTTCCTAACACTTAAACTCCTAAAAAGGCTAAAAATCACTAGATTAGTGTATATTTTTCCACAAACGCGATCGGAGCGGTATGTCACGCGCCACCATAACTCTAAACTTCAAACGGCGCTGGTTTCCAAACCAAGCACGTTACTAAGCTGAAAAGTTGTAAACAGATATAAGTTTAGATCTCCTTATGCCTTGTTAGGATAAAAATTTTGTGGCTCTTTAGTTTTGGATTTTGAATTTGATGACGTCACGTGAACTCGATCTATTAGAAAGTCAAGTGGCTTCCTTTAGTTAGGAATTTCACATATGCGCAAGAAAAACCACGAAAAGATTTCTTTCTCGACTAATTGCTCCTTGATGTTTATTTCTTTAATGTTCTTTTCATGTAGTCGTGATTTGGAACATGCGCAGCATGATGCTCAGGTAGCAAATTTTGGCTGGCTGCATATCTGAAAATGTTGTTAACAGGGATGTTAGTAATCTGGCAAAGTTCCATGCTTTTATCAAAAAAAGATCAATTCGAACATATTTTGGTTGTTAGCAGAAGGACTGTGATGACGAGTGTTAAAAGTTCTTCTTGCGGCTTCACCGCTCGTTCCGCGCCACGGAAACCACCAGCTACGCAGGGTTCTGATACCCCAGTAAATACCACCATACACGATTGATTCGTTTGCAGGTGATGTCATCATGTTCTAAAATCCAAAACTAAAGAGCCACCAAAGTTTTTATCTTCGTCAGGGTAAACTTTTCAGCTCAATAGCTTGCTTCGCCTGGAAACAAGCCCATTTTGAATTTCAGAGTTATGGCGGTGAGTGACATAAAGCTACGATCGCGTTTGTCGAAAAATATATACTTATCTCGTGAGTTTTAGCCTTTTTAGAAGTTAAAGTGTTAGGGCAAGTACTTATTTAAATGTTTGCAAGTTCAGTTCAGATAATCAGTCGCATAGATATCCAAAGTAAGTTCCAGATGTTTACACTATTTTTTTGGCCGCCATGCATGCTGATAACGGTGACAACGTTGTGGCTCCATACAGGGCTCTGTGAATTTGTGCAAAATATTTCGACGAATATCTGAAGTTTGGGAGAAGTGTCTTCTTTTTTTCTGCAATAACATAACAATTTCTTGACTTTATCTACTGAATGGTTTTCGAATTATATGTTTATTGCGTGACAGTGCAAACGAAAAATAAGTTTATCAGTTTGCATTGACAAGTTTCTTTTCCCGCTGTTATATCAAATTCGAATTAGTTAATTATTGATTTTAAAGCATAGGCGTACGTAAACATTATGAACCTATTTCTTTTTTTGATACACATTTTTGACACTAATTCTATTTTTGATGGTATGATAGTCAAAACTAGCAATATATAACCCAATAGGGAGCCTGTCTCCAGTGTTTTTTTGTTTGTTTGTTTGCCTTTTGCCTTCCTCCGTCCTTTACGCAAATTCATCATCGCCCACAGCTACAGCTTGGACCGCCTGCGGTTAGAAACTTCAATTTTAGGAGGCACAAATGTTAGTTACGAACTAATAGACCATGAATCGTGTGAAACTACTGAAGGCATTTGTCACTACGGTTTTTATGGCTGGACTCTGAGTAATATCAGTCGTCGTTTATCTGTTTAGCCGTCAAGAAGTCATTCCCGATTTGACGTCTTTACATAATCAGCCTAAACCTGAAAGTAGAACAACTAGTGAGCTG